AACTGTAAGTGATTCATAACACATAATCTCAGATTGCTTTAAAATAAAGTGTGTAACGTTATTTTCGAGATTTGACAAAAACACCTATAATGCTGTTATTTAGTAAAACTCTTGCATGCAGTGCAGCGGATAGTGTGCATTTCTTTGTGGAATGATAGATATGGCTTCTCATCCAAGGAGCTTTCTCAATTCAAATTGCAAAATGTTGAGGTTCAAGTTTCCAAACTCTAGTGATCTTCTACATTTAAAGCAAGCTGAGCTACTGTATTATGCAATTATACCTCTTCTTCTACCTGAGGATTGTTGGTCTCTGAATTGCTCTGTCTCTGGCCTGTCACCTAGGACCAATCTGCCTTGGGAGACTCTATCAGGAATCATTACCCCTGACAGTAGCGCTTCCTAAGATCATTCAGACACACACACACTCCTCCACCACGATAAAGTGGTGATTCGCAAAGGAGAGAATCTGATCTTCATGCAAGATATTTTGATCTGATGCATGAAGGTGCAAATTGGCATGAAACTATCCAGGGATTCAATTCAAAGCTGCACTGAAAAGGTCAGGACACTCCTCACTGCACTGAACTACATACACAATGCATCTGTTTGAGTGTTTTATACTTTGGATGAACCCATTTTTGTCTCAGGGTGTTGTTGAGTTTTAATTTCATTAGGATGTAATGTTTGGAGAACATTATTCTAAGATGTTTAAACACTTTTTTCACTTATGGCAGCTTACTACAATTTAAAAGCTTCGAACTTTATAACTTTCCCATTTGGACTGGGGTCTCTTTTTGGATCGGCAATAAAACATCTTCAAACATCAAAAAGAAGTCCAGTTGCCTTTGATTAAACTCACCAGGTCTACAGGTATTATTTACGGTCTGGTAAAAATAATTTACTATCAACTGAACAAAATGGAGGACTTTTTTTCTTTTGTCCAATTGTGGTGCTCCTGTTCTGTTTCTTTGCCAACAACTCCAGGATTTGCCATGTTCTATGTATAAACATGTTTCTGTCGGTGTGTTTCTGTGCGTGAACATCCCCGCTCTGAGAGTGAGATGAAAGGCTGCTGCTCATGCACACGCTGCTGTCTTGCTCCTAAATGGCTCTGAATACTCTCAGTGCAGTGATGATCGGCTCTGCCTACAATTTACTTACACAGAAATGGGAATACTGCAGCAAACAAAAAAGAGCAAAAAAGATGAAAGGCATGGAAGGACAAACACAGAAAACTCAGTAATATACCTATTGGAGAGCAAGAAAGTCATGCAAATACACATCTGTAAACCTACCAGTGATAAAAGTAAGAGAAAAAAAAAGAAGACTTTCACATATAAAAGAAACATCAACATTCAAAACATTTTATTATAATCTTTAAACATTTAATACAGATAATCTTGTTTCCTTTTCCAGCAAGCTTTCAATCTAAAGGTTTGTTTTAATTCAGAACTTTTGCTCGTCCATCCATCCACTTATCTGAGATCGAGTCAAAGAGGCCACAGCTTAAGCAAAGATCCCTCTTTACTTCTACCACCTCAAGCTCATCCAGAGGGATTCCAAAGTATTCCCTGGTCAGGTTTCAGATACAGTCTCTCCTGCAAGTCCTGGTTCTTCCCTGAGGTCTTCTTCTAGTATGACACATCTGAAACATCGCTCTAAGAAGACATTATGAGTGCATCCTTAACAACCTGATCCTGGGTCAGGGTTTCATAAGTAACAGAGCAGCTACCTCGCTGCGATCTATTGAAAGACAGCCCTTGAACAACTGAGTGGTTAGAGCAGTCGTCCTCCAATGCAAAAGTCGGGGGTTTGATTCCACCAGCAGTCACATGCCCAAGTGTCCCTGGGCAAGACACTGAACCCCTCATTTCCTCCGATGTGTGTCCCATTGGTGTATGAATGTGTGATCTAAAGCACTGATTATTTTTTGTATAGATCTAGTAGAGTGCTGTATGAAGGGGTAAATGAGGGCACAGATTGTAAAGCACTTTGAGTATCTTAAGATAGAAAAGCGCTATATAAGTGCAGTCCATTTACCATTCTTACTGTCCAAATTAGATATTTTCATTGTGGTGAAGCAGTGATTATACTTACCAAAATAACCAAATTCGTCACCCTATACCCAAGGGTGAGTCCAGCCACTCTGCATTGGAACCTCATTTCCACTCTATTTCAATTTGTATTCATTGTCTCATACATTTGATCATTTCCCATAGCTCATGACCATAGGCGAGGGTGGGAACATGGAGAGCTCCCTATTCATCCTAACAGATTGCTACAACATCTGCATCACTGCATACCCAATCCCAAATCTGCCCATCAATGCCCCACTTTAGTCTACTTCCACTTATGAACAAGACTTCGAGTTACTTGATACTTTTGGACTATTGCTCTTTCCCTAGCCAGGGTAGGCAATCTGTTTTTGTTTTTTTGTTTTTCACTTGATGACCATGGCCTCGAATGTTGACGTATCTTTAACTTGACTGCTTCACACAACAGCAAAACACTCCAGTTCCAGCTAGAGGTCTTGCTGCCCCAAACTAGAAACACTCTGCTCCTTGGTTGTGCCTAGAACGTCTGTACATAACACGCGGGTGTGTGTGTTGTTTTCCTTCACCCATCAATCATCAATCGTACTCCAGGCAACATGAGTGATGTGTTGTGTACAGATCTGACATCTTTATTCCGACACTGTGCAGTTTCTTTGCTACATACTGTATTATGTACTTGGCCTGTTGTGTACCCATACATAATTGTATGTAGGGAATACCTAACAATAGACCAAAATTTTAGGTAACTCTTGATGTCACCTTAATCCATAAAAAGCACTTTGTGTGATATATATTAACAACACACATGTTTGTAAGAACAGAAACAGCCTTTTAATTTCAATTACACCTGAAGCGATCTACCTCGAGCGGGGTGATTTATTGTAGGATTGCTAACAAGCAGACCTAATGAAAATCATATGCAGGTAGCCTAATCATCTACCATACAGACCACTTGTTTATAATCTGACAAATCTAATCGACTATAGGTGTGACAAAGACGTAGACTGGTGCTTGTTAAGTTGCTAAAAATATTCAAAAGCTGTGCAGTTTGACGTTGAGATCTGTAAAGGGCTGGTGATGCATCCAGAATGTACTCGTCCTTCCTGACAGGTAGAAAAGCTACACACACCCAATCCCCACCTCCTAATGTTAAGCATGAAAGCAGGGAGCTGTGATATATTGTTTTGCCCCAGACCAGGGGTCTGCAGCCTTTCTCATTTCTTTTGCAGATGCTCTTTAACTTTTTGCTTTAAATAAATAAATTGTTGGTTTTTTTCACAATTAAAAAAAACACAGGTCTGCACAGTTCAGTTTTTTTTTTTTTTTTAAACAGTATCCCCCCCCCCACACACACACACACACACACACACAAAATAATCTGGTCTTTTCGTTTGTCTTAAATCGTACAAATATCAATAAATTTTAAAAATCATTAGATATTTTTAGCTTTATAATGTCACCCCTACTCCTCCAATAAACCTAAGTGGCCCACCAGATGATAATCACAGTTGTAGCAGGTTGTTGTGGCTCTGGACACTTTTAATTTAGTGAATGAAGGTGTAAAAATGGCTCTTTTGATCGTGAAGGTTGCAGACTCCTGCCCCAGTCCCACAGTAACGTGTATCAAGTAGTTTATTAAAACACAGAAGTACCATAAGTTTAGTTTTCTAGAAAGTTTGTGTTAGTCTTTTTATACAGTACAAGGAATATAAATATTTGACTTTCATCTGGCTTGGTGTGTTGCTGTACATTTAGAGCTGTGAGACTGCACTCGTAAAATCAATAAATGGTAAAATACTGTATTCAGGGAAATGCATTAAAAATGTGTTGGCTCCTAAAATAACAAGGCTCTCTGACCTTTAACATTTCCTTGACCTTTGTACTTTGATGATACAAAACAAGCAGTAACGAGTTTTGATTCATGCTGCTTTTGTACAGTCCACTCCTGCTGAAACATATATATATATATATATATATATATATAATTTGCATTTCTAATATAAAAAAATAGATTGCTGAGCTCAGTAACAGCATTAATATTCTGAACTTCATATTCTACACATCTGTTTAATGGTATTTCGTCGTCTTGTGTTGCGGTTGCTGGAGAAACCATCTTTGCTCTTTCTCTGACTTTGTCTCTCTTGTCCTTGCTAATTTCTTTCTCCGTCGCTCCTGCTAAGTGCCTCCACTTCTCTCATCAACCTTTATTGGTTATTCAGAGTTGAAGCAAGAGTGAATGGGGAGGGGGTAGGCAGTAATAACGAAATCTATTGTTATAAAAGTGAGTGAGCTGAATTTAAAGCTCATCCACTGCCTACTCTGCATGTCTATCTATCTATCGATCTCTCTAACGATCTCTCTATCTGTCTGTATGTCCGTCCGTCCGTCCATCCCCCCCCCCACACACACACACATTTATTCCTGTTCACTTATTTTTCAGGGTTTGTTTTAATATAAACGTCAACAAAGCATAGAAAATAAGCAACACATGCAAATTGTGCATAAAAATCTATTTATTTATCTTTTTCTTCTTTTGGCTGCTCCCTTCTGCAGGAGTCGTCACAGCTAGCAAACCCACTTAATAAATTTGGCAGTCGTTTTATGCCCGATACCCTTTCTGTCGCAGCCTGGGCTTGAACCTGCAGCCTCAGGATTATGAAACCATGGCACTGACCACTGACCACTATTGCCTTGTGTAATATTTATCTAACTAACCACTACATATTATAGCTAATACATGCAGATGGGAGTGAAGAAAAAAAACAACAAACTAAAGTTGTAGATGAATGTGATCATTGGTAATCCATCTGTTTGGATTTAACAGCATTCATGAGTTCGATTGTGTCTTTGTAAACCAACCAAAGTGATGCCACAACTGGTGCAACATGGAACAGAATGGTGGTTCTCACATTGATCTTTTGCCTCTCTCTCTTTTTATGTTCACAGGGACCCATAGAGAACGATGTTGTGATTCATGTGGCCCTGATAGCAGAAAGCCAGAGGTAATAATCAGTGTGTGTGTGTGTGTGTGTGTGTGTGTGCGTGTGTGCTATATGTGTGTTTTCACAGGCCGTAAAGGGAGGTTATTTTCTGCTTCTCTCTCCTCTCAGCTCTGTAATTGTGGTGAGCTTAGCCTGACCTCCACCATCATCTGTCACTCTTTTTATTGTGGGCTTGTGTGTGTGTGCATGTGCGTGTGTTAAACAGGGTTAAATGACTGTCAAGCTTGTCAACCTCCAATTTCAATTAACACTGATGATAAGGTTCTTATTAGGACTCCTACATCATCACCGTCATCAGTATTATCATCATCATCATCATCTCACAGCAGTCTGTCAGCTGTGGAACTCACTGGCTGCTGTATACAAGCTCTATAATGTACAGTGTTTCATTTAGACAGCTTTGCTCATGTTTTATGTTTATTAACACAAGTAAGCTTTTAATTTTTAGAAACACCAATAGATTGAGCACAGATAGTCTCTTAAAGCTCTAGATCTATTATTCCAATGATTCCCAGCCTGTTGCATTAACAAGGCTGTCAATATGTTTGACATGTACAAAATAATACATTAAAAACATCATCAAAAGTCAGGGCAAACTCTGATTTACATTACACACTGTTGTTAAACACAGGACTGCTTTTTAAGAGTTTTTGTGTTTATGTAATAAAATAAAACTAGTTAAATTGTTTGTATGTGACAGACTGATGAACATTTATTTATGTTTACAAATAGGCCAAATGAATGCAGCATCCTCAAATACATACTGCTGGCAAACTGGAGAAAAGAATTAAGGCTCTATCTTACTGGGCAGCAACTAGTTGGCTAACGACATTCATGAAGGAGTCTCCAGAATGTCTCGCAACATTCGAGGTGCTTCTCAGTTTCCTTGTGGTAGTAGCAGAGGTGATTATAGGCCTGTTGGTGTAGTTTGGAGCATGTTCAGATAAATTTGTACCATGTTCCACAAAACTAGCTGCAGAGTTCCCTTCCTTCATCAGTCAAGGAAACACACAACACAAAAGTGATTCTTCCCCCAAACAGCTTACTCCAAAGTGGAACAAACCAGTTATGTTGGTGCTAAGATGGTGT